CCAGAGTATTCATTAGCAGGAAGCTGGAATCAGAAGCAGAATTGGGACTCAAACCAGGTACTTTAATATGAGATGTAGACATCCCAGGTGGCATCTGAACTGCTGTATCAAATGCCTGTACACCTTTGTTTGCTTTAGATTTTAAGATTTAAATCTCAGAATTCATTTATAAAGTACAGTATTTGATACTTCACACAAAAGCCCCTTTGCTAATTATTAATGTTATTATTTCTGTGTGTAAAATAGACATTGCATCAAGACCTTTATTTATGAGTGTTTGAAATCCTGGTGAAGAACTCCTGCTCCAGACAGCTAAAGCAAGGGAGGAGGCACAAAATGCTGTCCCTTTATTAGGGCTTGTAAGAAGGGCAATTTTTCTTGGAAGGTTCTGTGATTGGTCATCTGGTATGACTGGAATATAGTCTCTAGAGTTCAGTGCAAGTGAAGTTTGGTTGGCAATAGTTTTTCTACTGGATGGAAGAAAATCTAGGCTTTGTGTGGGTGTTTTGCACAGTTGGTTAAGATGCTGCTTGGGCTACCTGCATCCCATATCCAAGTGCTAGTTTTAGTCCCAGCTACTCTGCTTCTGATGATGTTGGCTCAAGTACTTGAGTTCCTGCCACCCATATGGGAGAGTCAGATGGAGTTCCTGGCTTCTGGCTTTAGCCTGGCCTAGCCTCAGCTATTGCTGTGACTTTTGGGCAAGGGAACCAGTAGACAGAAGCATGATCACTTTTTCTCTTGCTCCTTGTCACTTTGCCTTTAAAAAAATGAAAGAAATGTAGACTTGTTTCTCTAGAACATTCCTGAGTTCTGGTTTATGTGTATATCTATTTATATATGCAATTGGGGAACCCAGAATGCATCTACATGCTTATTTTTTTTTCTTTGACAGGCAGAGTGGACAGTGAGAGAGAGACAGAGAGAAAGGTCTTCCTTTGCCGTTGGTTCACCCTCCAATGGCCGCCGCGGCTGGCGTGCTGTGGCCGGCGCACCGCGCTGATCCGAAGGCAGGAGCCAGGTGCTTCTCCTGGTCTCCCATGGGGTGCAGGGCCCAAGCACTTGGGCCATCCTCCACTGCCTTCCCGGGCCACAGCAGAGAGCTGGCCTGGAAGAGGGGCAACAGGGACAGAATCTGGCGCCCCCGACCGGGACTAGAACCCCGTGTGCCGGTGCCGCAGGTGGAGGATTAGCCTATTGAGCCGTGGCGCTGGCCCATCTGCATGCTTATTTAAGAGTAATTGTCGGGAGCCGGCGCTGTGGTGTAGCAGGTAAAGCTGCAGCCTGCACTGCTGGCATCCCATATGGGTGCCAGTTTGAGTCCCAGCTGTTCCACTTATGATCCAGCCCTCTGCTATGGTCTGGGAAGGCAGTAGAAGATGGCCCAAGTACTTGAACCACTGCACCCATGTGGGAGATCTGGAAGAAGCTCCTGACTCCTGGCTTCAGATTGGCACAACTCCATCTGGGGAGTGAACCAGTGAATGGAAGACCTCTCTCTTTGCCTCTGCTGTGCCTCAGCCTCTCTGTAATTCTGTCTTTTAAATAAATAAATCTTTAAGAGAAAAAAAGAGTAACTGTCAGGGAATCTTTTTCCCCTTTTACACTTCTAGTTTTATTAAAATTATTTATGCACATAGTTATATATGCACATAAAAAAGAAATAGTTGTGTGAAATGTTTGTAATTAAAAAACATATTTTGCCCATTACCTCATTTCAGTCTCCTCAAAAACAACTACTTGAATTATTTTAGTTAAGCTTTTGGTATCAATATTCCTATTTCTAAGCAATCTATACTGCTGCTTCTTGATTTTTAAAAAATTTAGTCATTTTTATTTATATCCCACTGGGAAAAATGAGGACTGAGCTTTCTATCCCCTCTTGCCACTTATACATGTTCCTTGTTCACCTCTTGCCTCTTTCTAGTTACAAAAGTAATTTTATAGTTTTGCATAGATTGGTATTTAGCATTTACATTGCTATGACTATGTAGACATTAACCATAGCTGAGCAAGGCAGTAGACTATTAATTTTCTTTCTATGTATGGCTTTTTGTTTTTACTTGACTTTTCCAGCTTTTGGTATCTACTGGCTATTCCTTTGCTGTGACCACATGGTATCGATCTCTGCACATCACCTTCTGTATGTTGAATCTCCCTCTGCCTCTCTTTTATTATGACACTAGTGATAGCACTCAGGACCCACCTGAATAATCCAGAATCATTTCCTCATTTTAAGAATTTTAATCACATCTGCAGAGGACCTTTTTCCTTAAAAAAATCAGTTTCCAGATTTAAGACCTGGTATTTTTGGGTAGCCATTATTTAGCCTTTTATGGTCCTCATTGGTGGATCATTGAAAGGCCTTTACAAAAATGAGGCTTGGTGCTTGCTTCATCAGCTTTATCCTTCATCTGCTTTATCCTTGCTTCTAGGTCTATACATCTAGCTAGAGAAATTCACTTGAAACATTACTATTTGTCCTACCAAGAGGAGTTGCAGAGTGGATAAAGGGGTTAAGACAAATAATAAATAAAAATTGAGGCTTGATGAAGGCTTATGGTAGCCAAAGAGAAACGAACAAATATATGTATATTCCAACTGCTGGGCCATTTGAAATATCCTGTTTAAGGACTGTGCTCAATTTGACTGCACTAGGAGTTTGGACTTGTGAGGGAAATGGAGACTCTGAATCCCTATTTTATTTTTTTATTTTAAAAAAGGTTTTAATTTATTTATTTGAAAGGCAGAGTGATAGAGAGGGAGTGCCTGCCTCCTGACCACCTATTTTAGATGGGGATTTTGAATCCTTGGTCACTTGGTGTTGGACATTAGGATGAACCATGCATGGGCTTGAATTAAAGAAGGTGTATTTATGGCTCTTTGTATCTTTTTTAAAAAGATTTATTTTATTTATTTGAAATGCAGAGTTAGAGGGAGAGAGAGAGACAGAGAGACACCAACCCTCCATCTGCTGGTTCATTTCCCAAATGGCTGCAGTGGCTGGGACTGGCTCAGGCTGAAGCCAGAATCCAGGAACTCCATCTGGGTCTCCCACCTGGGTGGCAGGGGCCCAAGGACTGGGGCCATCTTCCTCTGCTTTCCCTGGGCACATTAACAGGGAGTTGGATTGTAAGTGGAGCAGCTACTTCCGATCCAGCTCTCAGCTGTGGCCTGGGAAGGCAGTAGAAGATGGCCCAATCCCTGCACACACATGGAGACCCGGAGGAAGCTCCTGGCTCCTGGCTTCGGATTGGACACAGCTCCAGCCATTGTGGCCAACTAGGGAGTGAACCATCGGATGGAAGACCTCTCTCTCTCTGCCTCTTCTTTTCTCTGTGTAACTCTGACTTTCAAATTAAAAAAAAAAAAAAGTGGAGCAGCCAGGACTTGAACTAACACTCTTGTGGATGCCAGTGTCCCATTGGTTTAACCTGCTATGCCACAATGCCCGGCCCTCTGTATGTAATTTCAATCGATTATATATCTCTTTGCATTGCATATTATTGTCTTAACCCCTTTATCCACTCTGCAACTCCTCTTGGTAGGACAAATAGTAATGTTTCAAGTGAATTTCTCTAGCTAGATGTATAGACCTAGAAGCAAGGATAAAGCAGAAGTGATGTACTGCCAGAAAATGAGACTGGTAGTGAGAGACAGTGTTTTTATCCCTAGCTTATTAGTAGTTTAATCATAAAGTATTTGTTAGTTAGATCTGTAATTCATGGTCATCATTTCCCTTCAAGGGACAAATTATATTATTAAACTTTCAGTGACTGCCTGTGGTCCTGGCTTTGCCGTCATTTCACTAAGTAGTGTAGGGATATGCTTTTCTTTCACGTGATACAGTACGTATGCTAAAAAATGGTAGTTATTTTTTTCTTTTCCTGAAATGGGGCATTTTGGGGCACTTTTATGAGATATAAAATAGCCTTTGCTTCTCTGAAAAAGAAGTCGACATAGGTGTATACTGAAATTATTAGAAAGAAGAGTAACACGAAGTCAACATATTTTGTGTTTTTTTAAAAAAGGTGTATTTGTTTAGTTGAAAGGCAAAGAGAGAGAGAGAGAGAGAGAATCTTCCATCTGCTAGTTGATGTTCCAATGGCTGCAACAGTGGGAACTAGGGCAGGCCAAAGCCAAAAGCCAGGAACTCCATCCAGGTCTCCCATGTGGGTGGCAGGAACCCAAGTACTTGGGCTATATCTGCTGCCTCCCAGGCACGTTAGCAGAAAGCTGGATTGAAAGTGGAGACAAGACTTGATTTTAGGCATTCCAATAAGAGATGTGAGTGTCCTAAGTACTAGTTTATCCTGCTGTTATAAAACACCCATCTTAGCTGGTTTAATATTACTAGTTATTTGTTAGATTCTACTTAGAGTAGTTGAAACAGGTGAGTTCTGTTGAGTTGGTTTGAGTTTGTGTTCTTAAGTCAATTTAGGAAGGCCTACTGAAGGAAGGGGCATCTGAGAAAAGAATTTAGATAACTGTAGTCTTCAAATGTTAGGAGTGGAGTAGTGATTCATGAAAATGGGAAAAAGAGCTTAAGGGAAACTAAAAATAGAGTCTTGTAGTACAGAATGATTGAAAGCAATTAGTTATGCAAGGACTAGTTTAAAAAATAACTCTTTACTGAAAAGATAAGTAGAAGGTAAGGAGTATGCCTGCTTCAATGATTTCCAAGTATATTAATTCAAACTTTAAGTTCTGATATTTTTGTGTATGTACTTAATATAAAATATATATGAGAAAAACAGTTTTAAATAACAGCTTTTAAATCAAGTTCTTAAGTACAGTCTCTTAGAAAAATAATGATAATAATGTTGTAAAACACTCAGCAGATCAAAGTCTTCTTTGCAAGTAATCCTCTTGTCTTAGGCCTGGCTTTTTTTTTTTTTTTTAATAACAGGGACCTGTTTTCTTGTTGGAACATTGAGTACTTTTGATATTAAGACTTTAACTTGTTTTTGTTTGCTTTTTTTTTCCCCTTTCGCTGGCAGCTTAGTCAAACCATGAAACTGGCACGTCAAAGGCTGGCGTCCTTTAAAACTGTGACTAAAGAAAAGGCATCAGTGTTTACAGATGATAAAAGGAAAAGCATTCTCACTCAAGAGGTAAATTAATTTCTAGTACACTGCTTTAAAAATACTGATAAATTTTATTAATATCTCACTATATAATTAAATAGTAAAGTGATTGGAAACAACCTTAATATTCAATAGTCAGGAATGCTTGAGTAACTCATTAAATATCCATATACAGGCATTCTAGAAGATAATGTGTTTTCAAAGAATATCTGAAGACAAGGGAAAGTGTCCCTGTTGTAAAGTGAAAAAAGCAGGGTACAAATTGATATTATGATATGATCAGAATTTTAAAAATTTATATATGTATATTCACTCAACAGATATTTATGGAATACCTGTGATTACCAGACATTGTACTAGAAGTAGGACTTAATAGTAGTACAAAGATAAATAAAGATTCCCTAAGGAGCTTCTATGATAGTGAGGACATATATAATGATCATGCAAATAAATAATAGAATTTAATATCAAGTGACAAGTACAGTGGAGAAAAATAAATAAAATGAAGAAATGAGGAGAAAATGCTACATGCATAGACAAAAGTCTGATAGAAATTGTAAAAGAGATTCATACCAACTATTTCTCCATATTATTGTAGGTGATTTTTTTTTATTTTCTTCTCTTTATTTTTAAAATTTTCCATAATTACATGTTTTACTTTTTTTTTTTTTTTTTGACAGGAAGAGTGGATAGTGAGAGAGAGAGACAGAGAGAAAGGTCTTCCTTTTGCCGTTGGTTCACCCTCCAATGGCCACCATGGCTGGTGCGCTGCGGCCAGCGCACCGCACTGATCCGAAGGCAGGAGCCAGGTGCTTCTCCTGGTCTCCCATGGGTGCAGGGCCCAAGCACTTGGGCCATCCTCCACTGCACTCCCTGGCCACAGGAGAGAGCTGGCCTGGAAGAGGGGTAACCAGGAAATAATCCGGTGCCCCGACCGGGACTAGAACCCGGTGTGCTGGCGCCGCTAGGTGGAGGATTAGCCTATTGAGCTGCGGTGCAGGCCACATGTTTTACTTTCTAATCAGGAAAGAAACCAATGCTATTATTTTTAAAAATCAAAGAAGTTATTTTGATTCAAATGTAAGGTTAGAATGAATAATCGGAGCCTAACTGTGGAGCTAGGCTATTTAAGTGTACACTTGTAAAATGACATTGTTGATGTGCCTGTTTATTTTAGAATTCATAAATTTGGAAGCCAAATTCATGTGCTTTCCTGTGTTCACTTAATTTTGGCATTAATTTCAAGTTTTGATAGGCAGCATCTAGTAAAATAGACCGCTAGCCTTTTTTACTTTATTATCTTTTTGCCATCATCACCTGGCTTTTATTCAGTTCTTTCACAGTTTTATTTCCTAATTGGTATATTCTTTTGCATTCTCCTGGATTATGTTCCTGTACAGTCATGTGTTGCTGAACAAGGTGGAGATATTCTGAGAAATGTATCCTTGAGATATTTTGTCAGTATGCAGATATCATATAGTGTACCTACACAAACTAACAGGGCTACTAAGTTCTAGGTGGTAATAATCTTATGAGACCTCTGTTGTATACGTGGTCTGCTGGTGACTGACACGTTGTTATGAGTACTGACTATATTTTAATATTTTTCCTTAAGTATCAAAATTTTTTTCTTAGGTATCTCAACATTTGTCTCTATCTCTCTTCAGTAATAATTAAGAATTATATAGTTAAATTTTAAAAAATAAGTGGGCCTGGTATGTGTCCACAATATCTATCCCAACCTATCCTAAATGCATTCAGTGTGGTTGCCTTTTTGTACCATTGTCTTACTGTGGATCTTGAGATGGAATTTCTTTTAGACTTAAATTTTCCTCAATAATTTCCATACCCGCTATGAATTTTGCAGTTCTATAGTTTAGGCTATTAGACTGACTCTAAGGTACTGTTAGAATGAGGTGATTGGATACTTTCTAAATAAACCAGGACAAAAAGGGTTATCAGAGGCTAGTAGTGACTGATATTTTATATTGTTTGGAACATACTCAGACCTTTCCGATTGGTGTTTTTCCAGAAAGAGTACTATTCACAGGTCTGACTGAAGTAATTATCCAGTAGAAGGGAGGATTAACTCTAAGATAACATCCTTGTATAAACCAGTTTTTTACGTCACAGGTGCCATTTAAGTGCAATTTATTATTGTTATGATGATGATAATGAATTCAAGTTGACTGCTTGTTTCCACAGAATATAGTGGTGTATTTTTTTGTGTAACATAGCAGAACTAAATCTCCTTAATTAGGAATGATGTAAGAAATTAGTGAAATTTTTCTTATCAGTTAGATCAAGTATTTCCCTCAAATCTGAACAGTTTTATGCCCTCTCAGTTGTGTGAAGTAGGAATCTGCCAATCAGAAAGAATAATTGATAACCCAGCTGAGCCCTGATTTCATTTCCTTTTTAGACTTTAGTGACATTAGGATCTATCTGGTTGTTATTGTTGTTCCAGATTTGGAGATATAAGTAGAACATATATTTTTTGTTGTTGTTTTTTTTTTTTTTTTTTTTTACCCAAAGAAATCTTTTATTTAATGAGTACAAATTTCGTAAGTACAACTTTAGGAATACAGTGATTCTTCCCATCATACCCACCCTCCTACGCTCACTCCCACCTCACTCCTCCTCCCTTTCCTATTCCCAGTCCCATTCTCTCTCTCTCTCTCTTTTTTAAAAAATTTATTTTATTTATTTGAAAGACAGAGTTACAGAGAGAGGTAGAGACAGAGAGGTCTTCCATCCACTGGTTCACTCCCCAGATGGCCGCAACGGCTGGAGCTGCGCTGATCTGAAGCCAGGAGCCAGGAGCTTCTAATGTGTATCCCACGTGGATGCAGGGGCCAAGGACTTGGGCCATCTTCTACTGCTTTCCCAGGCCATAGCAGAGAGCGGGATTGGAAGTGGAGCAGCTGGGACTCAAACCGGCATCCATATGGGATGCTGGTACTTCATGCCAGGGCTTTAACCCGCTGTGCCACAGCGCCAGCCCCCTCCCCCACATTCTCTTTTAAGGAAAAAAAAAATACAAAACAAAAAAACTTGTTACTTGACAGTCAAGACAAAGACTTCACGTCTCAAGGTGTCCATTTCACTTCTACAGATTTCCTTTTAGGTGCTCTATTAGTTATCACAAATTAGGGAGAACATATGGTATTTGTCCCTTTGGGACTGGCTTATTTCACTAACTATGATGTTTTCCAGATTCATCCATTTTGTTGCAAATGACTGGATTTAATTTTTTCCCACTGTTTAGTAGTCCATAGACTACATATCCCATAACTTCTTTATCCAGTCTTCAGTTGACGGGCATTTAGGTTGATTCCATGTCTTAGCTTGTGAATTGAGCTGCAATAAACATGGGGGTACAGATAACTCTTTTATTTGCTGATTTCATTTCCTTTGGCCAAATTCCCAGGAGTAGGATGACTGGGTCATATGGTAGGTCTGTATTCAGATTTCTGAGGTATCTCTGAACTAATTTCCATAGTGGTTTTACCAGTTTACATTCCCACCAACAGTGGATTAGGGTACCTTTTTCCCCACATCCTCACTAGTTTTTGTTGTTTGTTGATTTCTGTATGAAAGCCATTCTAACTGGGGTGAGGTGAAACCTCATTGTGGTTTTGATTTGCATTTCCCTGATGGCTAGTGATCCTGAATATTTTTCATGTGTCTGTTGGCCATTTGGATTTTCTCTTTTGAAAAATGTCTAAGTCCTTGGCCCATTTCTTAATTGGGTTGTTTGTTTTGTTGTTGTGGAGTTTCTTGATCTCTTTACATATTCTGGTTATTAATCATTTATCAGTTGCATTGTTCGCAAATAATTTCTCCCATTCTGTTGGTTGCCTCTTAACTTTGCTGAGTGCTCTTTTACAGAAAGAAGCTTCTCTAGTTGATGTAATCCCATTTGTTGATTTTGGCTTTGATTGTCTGTGCCTCTGGGGTCTTTTCCAAGAAGTCTTTGCCTGTGCCAATGTCTTACAGGGTTTCTCCAATGTTCTCTAATAATTGTTTGGTATCAGATTGCAGATTTAGGTCTTTAATCCATTTTGAATGGATTTTTGTATAAGGTGTAAGGAGGGGTCCTGCTTCATACTCCTAGTTTTCCCAGCACCATTTGTTGAAGAGACTGTCCTTGCTCCGCGGATTGGTTTTAGCTCCTTTGTCAAATATAAGTTGGTTGTAGATGCTTGGATTGATTTCTGGAATTAGAACATATACTTGTATACTTGTTTACCCTCTGTCAGTTGTCTGAACTAAGATCATAAGTCTTATAAAATTGTTATTGGCTAGAGTAGTAGCAAGTTGTTATTTATAAAGTTTATGTATTCTCCTACCAGTCTTTTTCTTCCTGTATGTTTGACATGTGGTTGGTTGATTGTATGTTTGAACTAGAATTCACTATTTTTAATTCTTTTTTTTTTTCTTTCTTTCTTTCTTTTTTTTTTTTTTTTTTGACAGGCAGAGTGGACAGTGAGAGAGAGAGACAGAGAGAAAGGTCTTCCTTTGCCGTTGGTTCACCCTCCAATGGCCGCCGCGGCCGGCGCGCTGCGGCCGGCGCACCACGCTGATCCGATGGCAGGAGCCAGGAGCCAGGTGCTTTTCCTGGTCTCCCATGGGGTGTAGGGCCCAAGCACCTGGGCCATCCTCCACTGCACTCCCTGGCCACAGCAGAGAGCTGGCCTGGAAGAGGGGCAACCGGGACAGAATCTGGCGCCCCAACTGGGACTAGGACCCGGTGTGCCGGCGCTGCAAGGCGGAGGATTAGCCTAGTGAGATGCGGTGCCGGCCTTATTTTTAATTCTTAATTCTTAATTTTTTTAAAAAAATTATTGATTTGAAAGAATTCCAGAGAGAGGTAGAGACACAGAGAGAGAGAGAGAGAGAGAGAGAGAGAAAGAGGTCTTCCATCTGCTGGTTCACTCCCCAAATGGCCACAATGGCTGGACCTGAGTCGATCCAAAGTCAGGAGCCAGGAGCGTCTTTCTGGTCTCGCAAATGGGTGCAGGGACCCAAGGACGTGGGCCTCCTCTGCTTTTCCAGGCACATTAGCAGGGAGCTGGATAGGAAGTGGAGCAGCCTGGACTTGAACCTGCACCCATGTGGGATGCTGGTGCTGCAGGCTGGGGCTGAGCCACAGTGCCAGCCCCCAATTCTTCTTCTTCCTTCTTCCTTCTTCTTCCTTCTTCTTCCTTCTTTCTTCCTTCTTTCTTCCTTCTTTCTTCTTCTTCTTCTTCTTCTTCTTCTTCTTCTTCTTCTTCTTCTTCTTCTTTCTTCTTCTTTCTTCTTCTTTCTTCTTCTTTCTTCTTCTTTCTTCTTCTTTCTTTCTTTCTTCTTCTTCTTCTTCTTCTTCTTCTTCTTCTTCTTCTTCTTCTTTCTTCTTCTTCTTCTTCTTCTTCTTCTTCTTCTTCTTCTTCTTCTTCTTCAGAGAGAGAGAGAGAGAGAGAGAGAGAGAGAGAGAGATTGGTTGGTGGATCTTTCATCAGCTGGTTCACTCCCCAGATGCCCTCAACAGAGGCTGAGTCAGGCTGAGGACAGGAGCCTGAAACTCCATCTGGGATCTCCCACATGGGTGGCAGGGATCCATACTTGACCCGTCACCTACTGCTTCCCATGGTATACATTATCAGGAAGCTGGAATTGGAAGCAGATCTGGGACTTGGACCAAGGCACTCCCATGTGAGTTTTGGGTATCACAAGTGTTATCTTAACCACTATGCCAAATGCCTACCCTTCTTTATTCTTTAAAAATACTAGCATAACTTGTGGGCTAACGCTGTGGCCTAGCAGGTAAAGCTGCCGCCTGCAGTGCCAGCATCTCATGTGGGTGCTGGTTTGAGTTCTGGCTGCTCTACTTCTGATACAAAAATACTAGCATAACTTACTAAGATCAGGTGTTTCAAAAAAACTCAGCTTAGTGTCATGAGAATATTGCTTTCCTTACATCATTTATATATTTGTATTGATTTTTCCCCCAGAGAGCACTTTCTAGGAAACCAGCATTCATCAGGATAAATATAGGAAGAGGAGAGTTCTCTTTTAAGGGCCATCAAGATCTTTTAACTACTGTACATTACGAGAACTATATGGAAGATCAGGTAGGGAAATGCAAAGAGTAAAGGGGAAAAACAGTAGTTTGTTAGAACTTCCACAGCTATTTTAGGATAGAATTAAGGGTTAGGATTATAATGTGTAGTATTTATATTTTTAGCCAGCTTTATTGAGATGTACTTCATATACCATACAATTCAAATTGTACATTCAAACTGTACAGTTGAGTGGTTTCCTAGTATATTCACAGGGTTATGTGACTGTCACAACAATTTAATTTGGAGCATTCTGTTCACTCTTAAAAAGAAACCCCCATCCCCATTAATGGTCACTTCCCATTCTTACCTGCGCCTAACTCAGTCCTAAGCAACAACTAATTTGACATTTTAAAAGATTTATTTATCTATTTGAAGAGGAGAGTGATATAGAACACACACACACACATACACACACACAGAAAGATATCTTCTATCTGCTGATTCACTCTTCAAATGATGTTAATGGCCAGGCTGAAGCTAAGGCCTGGAGCTCCATCCAGGTGTTTCACGTGGGTGTTAAGGGCCTAAGCACTTGGCCATCCTCCACTGCTTTCCCAGGCACATTAGCAGGGAACTGGTTTGGAGGCGGAACAGCCAGGAACCCAACTGGTTCTGTGACCCAGAATGCTGGCATTACAGGCAGCAACCAAGCTCTCTGCACCACAACATCAGCTCCTACTTTTTGTCTTTATAGATTTCCCTATTCTGGGCATTTCAAATAAATGGGATCGTGTGATATGTGGCATTTTGTGACTAGTTTCTTTAACTCTGCATTTTTTCAAAGTTCACCTGCATTGTAGCATGCATCAGTACTTTCATTCCTCTTATTGTCAAATAATATTTCATTGTATACCACATTTGGTTTATTCACTCATCACTTGGTGGACATTTGGGTAAGTTCCGCTTCTTGGGTTTTATGAATAATTGTGTTGTGAGTAATTGTGCATCCATTTATGTATGGATATTTACTTCTCTTGAGTAGATACATAGGAGTGAAATTGCTGGGCCACTCTATGTTTAACATTTTGAGAAACTGTTAACCTGTCTTCCTCTACCAATATATAATGATTCCGTTTTCTCCACATCCTCTCCAACATGTTATTGTTGATCTTTTGATTATAGCTATCCTTGGTATTTCATTGTACTTTTCATGTGCATTTTGCTGATGGCTAATGATGTTCATATTTTTTCTTATACTTATTGCTCAGTTTTACCTCTTGTGGAGGAAGTACCTATTTAAATACTTTGCCTGAGGCTGGCACTGTGGCACAGTAGGTTAATCCTCTGCCTGCAGGGCCAACATCCCAGATGGGTGCCAGTTCTAGTTGTGGCTGCTCCTCTTTCTGTTCCAGCTCTCTGCTGTGGCCTGGGAAATCAGTAGAAGATGGCCCAAGTGCTTGAGCCCCTGCATCCACATGGGAGACCCAGAAGAAGCTCTAGGCTCCTGGCTTCGGATCAGCTCAGCTCCAGCTGTTGTGGCCATTTGGGGAGTGAACCAGTGGATGGAAGACCTTTTTCACTGTTGTAACTCTACCTCTCAAATAAATAAGAATCTTTAAAAAATATTTTAAAAAATTCCTTTTTTAACTTTTATTTAATAAATATAAATTTCCAAAGTACAGCTTATGGATTACAATGGCTCCCCCCCCACAACTTCCCTCCCACCCGCAACCCTCCCATCTCTCGCTCCCTCTCCCATTCCATTCACATCAAGATTCATTTTCAATTCTCTTTATATACAGAAGATCAATTTAGTATATATTAAGTAAAGATTTCAACAGTTTGCACCCACACAGAAACACAAGGTGTAAAGTACTGTCTGAGTACTAGTTATAGCATTAATTCACATTGGACAACACATTAAGGACAGAGATCCTACATGAGGAGTAAGTGCTCAGTGACTCCTGTTGTTGACTTAACAAATTGACACTCTTGTTTATGGCGTCAGTAATCTCCCTAGGCTCTAGTCATGAGTTGCCAAGGCTATGGAAACCTTTTGAGTTCGCCGACTTCGATCTTATTCAGACCAGGTCATAGTCAAAGTGGAAGTTCTCTCCTCCCTTCAGAGAAAGGTACCTCCTTCTTTGATGGCCCGTTCTTTCCACTGGGATCTCACTCGCGAGATCTTTCATACAGTTGTGGTTTTTTTTTTTTTTTTTTTTGTTTTTTGTTTTTTGCAGAGTGTCTTGGCTTTCCATGTCTATAATACTCCCATGGGCTCTTTGCCTGTGGATTTTTTTTTTAGTTGTGTCATTTGTCTTTTTTTTTTTTTTCCCAAGATTTTATTTGTTTATCTGAGAGAGTTACAGAGAAGGGGAGAGACAGAAAGGTCCTCCATCCACTGGGCCACTCTAAAGTCAGGAACCAGGAGCTTTCTCTGGGTTTCTCATGTTGGTGCGGGGCCCAGGCACCTGGGCAGTTCTCCACTGCTTTCTCAGGCCATAGCAGAGAACTGGGTCAGAAGTGGAGCAGCCAGGACACAAACTGACACCCATATGGGATGCTGGCCCTGCACGCGAAGGCTTAGCCTACTATGCCACAGTGCTGGCTCCTTTGTGTTTTTTTTTTTTTTTATTTTTTTTATTTTTAACTACTGAACTGTAGGTATTCTTTATATGTTATGAATAGCAAGTCCCTTACTAGATTGAGTTACATATATTCTGTGGGTTGTCATTTTATTTTATTAATGGTATCATTTACAACACAAATCTTTTAATTTTGGTGTAAATTTATTTTCTTTTTCTTTTGTCGCTTATACATTAAGTGAAGTATCTACTAATCATTGATTAACCCATAGTCATGAAGTTTTATTCTGATGTGTTCAAAAATTTTACAGTTTTAGTTCTAACTTTTAGGTCTATGACCCATTTTGAGTTAATTTTTATATAAGGGGTGAAGAAGTGTTTCAATTTAATTCATTTACATGTTGGTATTCAGTTATCCTAGCACTATTTTTTGAAAAGACTGATCTTTCTCCATTGAGTAATCTTAATACCCTATTGAAAATCAAGTGATTAGAAATCTGATAGTTTGTTCTGAATTCCCAGTTCTATTTTATTGATCTCTGCGTCTGTTCTGCTAATATCACACTGTCTTAATTACTGTAGGTTTGAAGTAAGTTTTTTTAAAAAAAGATTTTATTTATTTATTTGAGAGGTAGAATTACAGACAGTGAGAGGGAGAGACAGAGAGAAGGTCTTCCGTTGGTTCAATCCCCAAATGGCCTCAATGGCTGAAGCTGTGCCGATCTGAAGCCAGGAGCCAGGTGCTTCTTCCTGGTCTCCCATGCGGGTGCAGGGGCCCAAGCACTTGGGCCATCTTCTACTACTTTCCCAGACTGATTAGTATTCCACTGTGTTTATATATCACATTTTCTTTATCCATTCATCTGATGATGGACACCTTGATTGATTTCATATCTTGGCTATTGTGAATAGTGCTGTGATAAACATGGTAGAGCAGGTGTCATCTTTTTGGTACAGTGATTTCACATCTTTTGGATATATGCCCAGTAATAGGGTTGTTGGATCATATGACAGTTCTATTTCTAGTTTTTAAAGAAATCTCTGTATTGTTTTCTGTAGTGTCTGTACTAATGTACATTCCCACCAACAGTGTGTAAGAGTTTATCTACATCCTCACCAGCATTTGTTACTTTCTGTCTTTTAGATAATAACCATTCTGACAAGATTGAAATATCTCATTGGGGTTTTGATTTGCATTTCACTGATGGCTAGTGATTTTGAGCCTTTTTTCATGTATTTTGTTTTGTTTTTTTTTATGAATGTTTTACTTTTAAAGGTCCTTTCACATGAGTTTCTTGATTAAGTTATTAAATTCTGCAACAAAGCCAGCTGGCATTTTAACTCAGTCAAATTTGGGAACTATTGCCATCTTAACAGTATTGTCTCCTAATCCATGAATCTTGGATCTCTTTTCATGTATTTAGGTCTTTAATTTTTTCAACAGTGTTTTATAGTTTTCAGCTTACAATCTGTCACTATAAACATTTAATTCTACTTGACTATGCTATCCTGGTAAAATTATATTTGCAGTGTCCTGAAGCCTAGGATTGTATTATAATCACATTGTTTCTACCTGTAATAATTACTTTTGCTGTTTTTTGGTTTTTTTTTAAAATTGTTTTTATATTTTCTTTAGGAACTTGACTATGAGGAAATTTCATCTGTTGTAACCAATGAGGAAGGAGGAGATTTATTTCAGGGGGATCAACAGGATCTCCTTTCTGAAGACAATGATGTGTGTTTCAGTAAAGTTCAGGTAAAACAAGGAGAAAAAGTAAACTCGTTATGATTTGGATTATGGATTGCTGATACTGTTGTACTGGTTTTGGGTTGTAAATGTAAGGTTCTGTTAAATTGGGCAAAGATTATAATTTTAGATTTTATGTTGGTGATTTCTTTGACTACATTATTAAGATTATTTAAGGAATCTTGTGTTAAGCCTAGAATGTTGCTATTGTGTAACATTCTATACTTTATGTTTACTTTTAGAAAGTAAAATTCAAAAATCCCTTATTTGTTGTGATGGAAGGGGAAGAACAAACGCCATCATATCTTCAGGGCTTTCAACATATTCTTCCAGAAGCCCAGGATCATCTTCCAGAAGCGCAAGGTGATCTTCCGGAATCCCAGAGCGATTTGACAGACGTCCACAGTGTTGACTTGGAAGCTCAGAGTGTTGAGCCTAGTGCTCAGGCTGTTGAATTTCAAGTTCAGGCTGTTGAGCTGGAATGCCAGACTGTTGAGCTAGAAGGCCAGGATATTCAGACGGATACTCAGAATAGTATGATGAAAGCCCAGAGTGTTGAGCTAGAAGACGAGAGTACTGAGTTGGAAGCCCAGAATTTTTTACCCCCAAACCAGGCTTTTCTACCCAAAGACCAGAACACTCTACCTGGATATCAGGACCAGGATTTTGTACATGTACGTGAAGACAGGGATATACTACCTGAAGACCATAATGTTCTACCTAACTGTCAGGACCAGGATTTTCTGCCTAAAGAAGAAGATCTTCTACCCAAAAAGCTGTGTGTTCTCCCCAGAGACGAGAATATTCTCAAATGTCAGAACCAGGATTTTCTGCCCAAAGACCGAAGTGTTTTCTCCAAGGGTCAGGATATTTTACACAAATGTCCAGACAAAGATTTTCTACCCAGAGACCAATGTGTTCTCCCCGAAGAACAGACTATTTTACCTAACTATCAGGACCAGGACTTTCTACCTAAAGACCAGAATTTTCCATTTAGAGATCAGCATGTTCTCCCCAATAACCAGAATATTCCATCCAATTATCAGGACCAAAACTTTCTACCTAAAGACCAGAATATTTTACCCAAAGACTACCATGTTCTTCCCAAAGACCAGACTTTTCTATCCAGATGGCAGGACCAGGATTTTCTCTCTGAAGACCAACATTTTCCCTTCAGAGATCAGCATGTTCTCCCTGATAACCAGAATATTCCATCCAATGATCAGGACCAGGATTTTCTCCTCGAAGACCAGAATACTTTACCCAAAGGTCAGAAGCAGGGATTTCTACCCAAATACCAGGTAAAATAGAGTGGTAAGGAGATACAACAAGAAGAAATAAGCTACTTTTGCTTGTGGAGTGAGATTTATAAGAACTGTGTTATAGCTGATTGGGAGATTTGTAGTTTCCTGATTGATTTCTCTATAATCTAGGATTACTGGTAAGTGTTGAAGTATTATCAGCAGTACATTTCCCCTATTTGACAATTTTCTTTTTTTTTTTTTTTTTTGGACTGGCAGAGGTAGAGAGAGAGAGAGAGAGAGAGAGACCGAGAGAAAGGTCTTCCTTCCATTGGCTCACCCCCCAAATGGCCGCTACGGCCGGCGTTCTGCGCCGATCTGAAGCCAGGACCCAGATGCTTCTTCCCGGTCTCCCATGTGGGTGCAGGGCCCAAGGACTTGGGCCATCCTCCACTACCTTCCCGGGCCACAGCAGAGAGCTGGACTGGAAGAGGAGCATCTGGGACAGAATCTGGTGCCCCAACTGGGACTAGAACCCCGGGGTGCCGGCGCCGCAGGCAGAGGATTAACCTAGTGAGCCACAGTGCCGGCCTTGATAATTTATTTTTTAAAAATCTTCTTTATTAGGAAAAATGTTTCTGGCAGCCATCATCTGCTCTGACAGCTGAAAGATGGAAAAGGAGAGGCTCACAAGCACCCAAGAGATTCCAAGGCCCGTCCTCCACCAGATAGCAGTTAGAACATAAGGAAGAAGGGATCAAAAGGAAGTAAATTACTTAGGGCTGTGGTTGGACTTTTGATGAATATAATTTTTTTTATTATTCCATAAGATGCCCAATTTTTTTCTGACCTCAGTTAACTACAGACTTTTCCTTAAAACCTAAAGTCTTAGTTAAGCTGTAATTCTTAGCTTAATAAGTGATATTTTTTAGAAAACAAACTTGCAGCAGCTGGCATCAATTTTGATAGGTAGCAGAGGGAGGGAAGCACATCTTTTGGATGTCCATTGGGATTTTTTATACAGGCTTTTTCAGGAGCAAGGTAGAACAGAAAAAGGCCAGGAATTAGTAGGAACTGAATTGTTTAGGGTTTAATTTGGAGCTTACAAAGATTACTCTCAGCTAAACTTTAGAACTGACAAAAAGTAAGATTTTCTGTTTTATTCCATAATATTTCATATCATTCTGAGTTTTAAAAAATGCTCTCGACAGAGCCTAGGATGTTATCATGTTACTCCTACCAGACAATTTATAGTTTGTGTTTTTTCTCTTTTAGAAAGTACGCTTTAAGGAGCCATACTCTGATATGACAAATGAGGAAGGGAGAGAAGACTTTTCTTTGGTGGACTATCAGTATCAGTCTCCCAAACTCCAAATCCAGGACGTCATCAGAGATCAGGTAGAGCAGAATAAAAAGAGATGAAGAGTCAGGAAATAAAGTAACTGGGTTTTATAAGTTCTCACTAACTGGTAATTTTGGTATCATTTTGCATATTTTAAAATTATTAATTTTTCTAAAATTAATATTTTGAGAGCCCTTGCTATCTATTTAGACAAGAATTCTAAATACCAGCTCAAATGAAGCAGGTGATGTGGTAAGGTTTAACATTTGTTTAGAGAGTGAGAGAAATACACAGGAATGTAAGGACTTTATTTAAAAAAGAGAGGGTGGTCAGAAAAATAAACTGGGAATTCCATACCAGGCAAAAAGCAGATTAGGGCCTACATGTAAGAGTTCACAGGCCAGAGCCATGCAGAGAAAACCATGCAGGCAGGAATGATTGCAAAATGGTGTAACATGCAGGCAAAACAGGGGCAGGCCCAGGGTGCTCCATGCCTTTTATTTGCTTCCAAAAGGGAAGTGGTTACATAGTTTGATTAACAGATACGTGTATACAGGTGGGATCAGGTAGGGATGGCTCTAGCTCATGAGCCAAATCCTGTCTGTCTATATAAATTTGAATGATAGAATCAGAAACTTTAGAGTTAATGTAAAAATATTATATCTTTGATTCTTTCCCACGTTAGTGGGAAAGTAGTCTTAAGTCCTATTAAAACAGGAGCTCTGCTTCAGGAAGGATGGGCACAGATTGTTAAACCCTAAGCAGTTCATTTCCTGCTGGTCTCTCCCCTTTTCTCTTCACCCTTGCAACTGATGATACAAAAGACTCTGATCTAATGGACTATATGAATGAAATCAGTTGTGTCACTCATGAGGTTAACATACCACATTCATGTCGATTGAGTTGGGCTAAAACTATAGCATCCTCACTCATACCAAAATGTATCAGAATATTCTTACTTGGTACCACTTCCTAGGGGTTCTCACTGAAGCCTACAATATTATGATTAGTATATTGCCCTGGTTAAATAATTTGCTTTCTGTTTTTGTTGTTCCTTTAGAACATGTTTCCAAAGCAACCCTCATATTTTATGAGAGAAGAGAAAGTGAGAGAGGAGCTACCTCTCGGGTATCATCAGCGTGTTCCATCTAAAGTTCAGCAACAAGCCTCCCTTAGAGAACAGGTAGAGCTGAATACGGTAGAAGGACTATATATTTTCTAAAAGAGCAGCAAGACTAAATTACTTAAGACTGGGGACAGAGCTTGTCAAGTTAGCTTGTATGTGGAATACATAGAATTAAGGCATCCAGAGTTAGGTTAAAAGCAAAATGTCTTCATGTTGTTTCAAAATGTGCCAGGATAGTCTGTGATTTGCTTTAAAATCCTCTAGGAAAACAGTTGAGTTAGATGAAAAAGCAAAATGGGACTGGGCATTCAACCTAGTAGTTGGGTTCTTGTGTCCTGTGTTGGAGTATCTGGGTTGATTCCTGGCTCTGGCTTCTGATTCAGGCTTCCTGTTAATGTAGACTCCAGGGGAGGTGGGGGGCGGCAAAAATAATGCTTAAGTAGTTGGGTTCCTGCCACCCATGTGGGAGACCTGGATTGAGTTCTCAGCTCCCAGCTTCAGCCCTGGCTGGTCCTAGCTATTGTGAGGATATGGGGAGTAAACCAGCAGATATTAACTCACTCCCTCTGTCCCTCTGCCTCTCAAATAAATAGATAATTTTAAATAAAAAAGACAGTGTTGAAGCTGAGTGATGGATATCTTGGGATTTATTATGGTATTTTTCTCCTTTGATTGAAAATTTTTATTTTAAACACATATACCCCAATTATGTTCTATTATATTCACCTATTATCATTAATCTGGGTTTGTCATTGAAGTCTATAATATTGTTACTAGCTCATGACTTCTGTTCAATCAGTTTATATTTTGTTGTTCTTTTAGAACAAGTATATCAAACAACCCTCATCTTTTGAGAAATGGGAGATTGCAAGAGAAATTGTTTCAGGAGTGCCTTTGGTATGTTTCCCCAATGTTCTCTGTAATTTGATGTTATTAGGTTGTAAATTTACGTTTTTCATCCATTTTGAGTAACTTTTTGTGTAAGGTGTAAGATAGAGGTCTAGTTTCATAATTTTTCATGTGGAGATCCAGTTCCCAGCACCATTTGTTGAAGAGACTGTCATTGCTCCAGGGATTGGTTTTAGCTCCTTGGTTGAAGATAAGTTGGTTATAGATGCGTGAATTGATTTCTGGAGTTTCTGTCTGTTTCATTGGTCTACCCGTCTGTCAGCCCAGAATACTGTACCCTGCAAAGTTCACAATTATGAATGAAGGTGTAAGAAAGACTTTCCATAACAAACAGAAATTAAAAGAATTTGTCACCACTCGTGGAGCCTTACAAAAGATACTTAAGGATGTGCTATGCACAGAAACACAGAAAGCCATTACTATAAAAGAATGTGCAAGCAGAATATCCCCCAGTAAAAGTACCAAAAAAATCCAAAGTAAACAAAATAGACTTTAACACAGAAACTGTTCAAAAAGACAAAGAAGGGCACTATGTAATGATTAAGGGATCAATTCAACAGGAAGATGTGACTATAATAAAAGTATACACACCCAATTACAGGGTGCCTGACTATTTAAAACAAATGTTAATGGAACTAAAGGGAGACATAGACTCCAATACAATAGTAATGGGAGACTTCAGTACCCCACTTTGATCAATAGACAGATCAACTAGACAGAAAATCAACAAGGAAACAACAGAGCTAATTAACACTATGGACCAAATGGACCTGATATCTACAGAATGTTTCACCCCACAGTTGCAGAATACTTATTCTTCTCACCAGTGCATGGAACTTTCTCTAGGATAGATCAGATTCTAGGCCATAAATCAAGTCTCAGCAAATTAAAAAAAAATCAGACTCATGCCGTGCATCTTCTCTGAGCACAATGGAATGAAGTTGGAAATCAATAACTTGGGAATCTCTAGAACATATCTAGACTGAACAACATGTTCCTCAATGAGCAGCAAAAATTCTGGAAATGAATGAAAATGATAATACATCATATCAGAACTTACAGGATATAACAAAAGCAGTGTTAAAAGGAAAGTTTAGGGGCCGGCGCTGTGGTACAGTAGGTTAATCCTCTGCCTGCAGTGCTAGCATCCCATATGGGTGCTGGTTCTAGTCCCAGCTGCCCCTCTTCCAATCCAGCTCTCTGCTGTGGCCTGGGAAAGCCACAGAAAAAGATGGCCCAGGTGCTTGGGCCCCTGCACCCACATGGGAGACCGGGAAGAGGCACCTGGCTCCTGGCTTCTGATTGGCGCAGCTCCGGCCATTGTGGCCATCTGGGGAGCAAACCAGCGGAAGGAAGACCTTTCTCTCTGTCTCTTCCTCTCACTATCTGTAACTCTACCTCTCAAATAAATAAATAAAAATCTTTAAAAAAGAGAGAAGTTTATAGCAATTGGTGCCTACATGAAGAAATTGGAAAGGCACCAAATAAATGAGCTATCAATGCATTGCAAGGACCTAGAAAAACAACAAACCAACCCCAAATTAGTAGGAGGAAAGAAATCATTAAAATTAGAGACGAAGGGAATGGCACGTGGCACACTGACCCAACTCAATAGAATCAGAGATGAAAAATGAAATGTAACAATAGACACCACAGAAATAAAAAGAATCATCAGGAATTACTACAAAAAAACAGCTGTATGCCAACAAATCAGGAAACCTAGAAGAAATGGATAGATTCCAGGACACATAAAACCTACCAAAATTGAGTTATGAAGATATAGAAAACCTAAATAGAAAAATAACCAAAATGGAAAGTAAGTCAGTAATAAAGACCCTCCCAACAAAGAAAAGTTCAGGACCAGATGGCTTCACTGCTGAATTCACCAGACATTTAAAGAACTAATTTCAGTTCTTCTCAAGCTATTCAAAACAATTGAAAGGGAGGAAATCTTCCCAAACTCCTTCTATGAAGCCTGCATCACCTTAATTCCTAAATCAGAAAAGGATACAACAGAGAAAAGAACTATAGACAAATATCCCTGATGAACATAGATGCAAAACTCCTCAAAAAAATACTAGCTAATTGAATCCAACAGTACATCAGAAAGATCATTCACCCGGACCAAGTGGGATTTATCCCTGGTATTCAGAGTTGGTTCAACATTTGCAAATCAATAAATGTGATACATCACAATAACAAACAGAAGAACAAAAACCATATGGTTATCTCAATAGATGAAGAGAAAGCGTTTAATAAAACACAACACCCTTTCATGATGAAAACCTTAAGCCAATTGGTTATAGAAGGAACATTCTCCGACACGGTCAAGGGAATTTGTAACAAACCTACAGCCAGCATCATATTGAGTGGGGGAAAGCTGGAAGCATTCCCCCTAAGGTCCAGAACAGACAAGCTTGCCCACTCTCACCATTGCTATTTAATACAGTCCTGGAAGTTCTAGCCAGAGCAATTAGGGAAGAAAGAGAAATCAAAGGGCTACAAATTGGAAAAGGAGAAGTAAAACTATCCCTAATTGCAGATGGCATGATTCTATATATGGGAGATCTAAAAGACTCCATGGAGAGACTGTTGGAACTCTTTATAAAAAAGTTTGGTAAAGTGGCAGGATATAAAATCAACACAGAAAAATCAATGGCCTTTGATACACAGATAATACCATGGCTGAGAAAAAACTTTTAAGATGATGAGTCCCATTCACAATAGCTCCAAAATAATTAAATACCTTCAAATAAATTTAACCAAGGATGTCAAAGATCTCTACAATGAAAATTACAAAACACTAAAGACAGAAATAGAAGAAGACATACACACACACACACAAAAAAGGAAAAATCTTCCATGTTCATGGATTGGAAGAATCAACATCATCAAAATGTCATACTATTTACCGATTCAGTGCTATCCCAATCAAAATACCAGCAACATTCTTTGCAGATATAGAAGAAATGATGGTGAATTCATATGGAAACACAAGAGACCCCGAATAGCTAAAGAAATCTTGTACAACAAAAACCAAGCTGGAGGCATCACAATACCTGATTTTTTTTTAGATTTTATTTATTTATTTGAGAGGTAAAGTTACAGACAGTGAGAGAGAGAAAGGTCTCCCGTTGCTGGTTCACTCCTCAAGTGGCTGCCATGGCCAGAGCTGCGCTGATCTGAAGCTAGGATCCAGGTGCTTATTCCAGGTCTCCCATGTGGGTGCAGGGGCCCAAGCACCTGGGCCATCTTCTGCTTTCCCAGGCCACAGCAGAGAGCTGGATTGGAAGTGGAGCAGCTAGGACTAGAACCAGTGCCCATGTGGGAAGCCGGCAACACAGGCAGAAGATTAACCTACTCCACCACAGCGCTGGCTCCACGATACCTGATGTCAAGACATACTACAGAGCAGTTACAATCAAAACAGCTTGGTATGGGCACAAAAACAGAAGGATAAACCGTCGGTATGTTTGACCCAATAGTCACAACCTAGCCCCTCCCAGAGAATAAGTGGAGCAGAACATGTTGAAGAGTAAGTAGAAGAGAGTAAATTCCTTTGGTTTTGGCTCAAGACTGACAGTGATGTAGTAACTACCTCAGGGCTTTAGTGTTAAGGTCAGTAATAAAGGGCAAAGAATAGAGTCCTCTTGTTCTGCATGTAGCACATCTTTATCAGTTACTGTAACAACTTCAGAAGCTTTAAATATTGCTACCACAGCATGATGCTCCTGCTTAGATAATTTGTGTTCAATGTTTATGTTGCCTTTTAGTACAGTAGCTATGGGTAGGCCTCACATGGTAGGACAGATGAGAAATGGAGAAATGAGTTATTTCCAGACTGCCATAAATGTGTTTTATGTAAAATCCAGGATCCAGGCTCTCTCAGAGTACAGGTAGAGCAGAGTATAGTAAAGAGGAAGCGGTGGAAAGTTTGGATTGGTTTTGTCGGATCTGTGTTACTAACCAAGATGATAATAGTGTTACCTATTAAAATAGCACTAATGAAATAATTTTGCTTATTAATATTTCCAAAATTAATAAGCTGTGTGGGCTCTTGCCATAAATTCAGAGAATTCTGAATGCTGGCTCAAATAGACCAGATGACATGGTAAGTTTTAAGGATTTTATTCAGTGAGAGAAATGCGTAGGAGACTGAGGGCTATATCTAAGGGAGAAGGGGAAGTCTAGATCCATACCAAGAGGAGAGCAGGCCAGGAGCCACGTGCAGCAAGCGTTTGGTTATGAGCAGTGACAAGCAGCTTAGCAGGGGTAGCGAGGCAAAGGCGGAAAGAGAGCAGGTGGGCGGAAGGCCACCCACCCTGAAGGTGCAGGGCAACAAAGGGCAATGGTGAAAAAAGGGCCAGGCCCACTGTGTTCCAGGCCTTTTATCCACTTCCAAAGGGGAGTGGTTATGTAGCCTGATTGGCAGGTGGACATACAGGTGGGGTCAGGTAGGGGTATGAGGTCACACAGGGGTGTGGTGAAGGCATGGCCTTCCAGCTCACAAATTGATCGATTTTATCCTATCTGCCTGCCTACATCACTAGTATTATATATAATGGCTTGCATTCATTGAACACTTACCATAGCCAAATTGGTTTCAGAATTTTGTGTGCATTATCTCATTTAATTCTCACAATAACCCTGGGAGGCAGATATGATTATTACTTTATGGATTAAAGTCTGTGATCTGGATAGAGTTAAAATCCATGATAGTGACATGAAATATAATGTCTTGTATTATCACTACTGTTATGTCACTGCTCACACGATGTGATGTGCTGTTTTCTCTTTCAGAGCTTATCCTTCAGGCAGCAGCCATCTGTTGGGACAGCTGAAAGATGGCGAGAGGATTTGCCACTAGATAGCCATCAGCATCTTCCATCCAGGACCCAGAGAGATGCTTCCAGCAGACGACAGGTAGAGCAGACCAGAGTATGAAAAGTAGATTTCAGACAGGATTATAGGTACCTACTAATTGAGGGCAGTAAGGCTGATGAAAAGGCAGATTTTTAAGTTCAAAGGATACAAAACCTGTCCTGATCTAAGATGATTTTAGAACTCTCACTGAAACCTAGGGTATTGTGGCAGCACCTTTTGCCTCTTGGAAAACCCGAGGTCTTTTATGGGTATGGGAATCTTCCACCAGAGGCTAAGAAGAGAGCTCCATCAGGAAGTTGGTAGAGCATCAGATACCAGCACTAGGAAATCAACTGCTTGAGATTGGGCTGGAATTGCCTAAGGCTTGGGGGCATTGAGTTAAGATAAGAGCTATAGTTTTTCAAGACAGTGTTCTCTTGGCTTACTAAAATTTGCTTAACTGAAGACTAGTTTATTCCCACTAGAGTTTTACCACTCCAGATAATTTCTATTTTGTAATTTTATGTAATTTAAAAAACAAGGCAGTAGGAAGTGTTAGATTACATATGAGAGATAAAGAGAAATTTCCTTAAGTCTTCTCTAAGAGAGCAGAATGAAAACGGGGCAAAGTGACAGAAAGTAGGATTTGGGCTAAAATTTCAGGACCAAACTCTAGCTCTTTTGTGATTTTCAATTTGGGTTTATAGAGTTGGCCAAAAGGTAAACTGTCATGTTTTATTATAGGTTGGCATTTATACGTATCCTGAGTTACACCTAGCTCTTCCCTTCCTCAGATTGTTTTGTATATGTTCCCCTCCCCGACATAATCATCCCTTTTTCCTGAAAAATTTTGTCTTTGCTCATCCTTCAAATTTCAGCTTAAAAGATACTTCTTTGTGTCACCAGAGAAAAGAGCCATGGAAGCCTTGGGGTTCTTGTCTTCATGTAAGAAAGAATTCAGAATGGAAAGGATAGGGAGAGAGTTCCTGGTCACTCGGACTGGGGGAGAGTGAGGTTACATGGTTGAATGGAGAGAATACACCTGAGTAGGCCAGGTGGTGGCTCAGCAGAGAGCAGAGAGCTGAGCGCCCCAATCTTTGTTTAGACTGGGGATTTTAAAGGAAAAAGGGGGCCAGGTTTCTCCTTCCCCTCCTCCTTCTCTATGACAAAGGGTTTGTGGAGGGTAAATTAGCAAATTCCTCCCCAGATACGTTGGCACCAGGCAAAGGGGGCCGTCTGTGAAGGTTTTATTGCCCCATGTTGTCAGGTCAGGTAACCCATTTGGTCCTGAGGAGAGAGAATTCTCCCAGGAGCTTTCCTTGGGGAAGGGCTGGGACCATCTGGAAGGTTCTTAGGGTCTGGGCAGGACTTTGAAGTGCAAAATGCTGGGCTTCTGGGGCTTCTTCAGTAGGTGCGGGTTTCCAGGCCCTTCTCACACACACATGGGCTAATTTCTCACTTCCAGCCTAACACTTGGAAAAGACCACCCTGATCACCTTATCACAGCTTTTCTCTTTTTCTCCATCCTTGCATTCTGTTTGTTTGCTTCTCAGTGCAAATATTTTCTCCTATGTCCCATGTTATCTTTCTACTATATTCATAGTGACCTTTGATGCGAAACAGTTTTTAATTTTAATTAGCCTGATTTATCTATTCATTTCTTTTGTTACTTATGCTTTTGGTGTCATATTCAAGACATCTTTGCCAAAATCAATGTCTTGAAGCTTATTTCCTGTGTTTCTGTTTTAGCTGTTATATTTAAGTCTTTGGTACATTTTGAATTAATTTTGTAGATAATGTGTGGCAAGGGCACAGCTTCATGTGGTCAGTCCAGTCTTGCCGCCCCTATTTGTTGAAAAGACTGTCCTTTCCCCCTCAAATGGCCTTGGCTCTTTTGGTGAAAGCATGTTGATATTGTCTAGCCTATTAATAATATTAAATATTAATATTCGGTGGGTTCTTGCTGTCTATTCAGAGAAGAATTCTGAATATCAACTTGAATAAACCAGGTGACATAGTAAGTTTTTAACATTTATTCAGTGAAAGAAATACACAGGAAAGTGAGAGATTTATTTAGGGTAGACAGAAGTCTAGAAGCTAAGTTGGGTCCATACCAGGCAGAAAGCAGGCCAGGAGCCACGTAGAACAAAGCCACAGGTAGCATAGTGCAGGCAGGAAAGCAGAGACAGAGCACCAGAGGTGCGGGACAGCAAGAGCAGGCCCACTGTGCTCCAGGCCTTTTATTTACTTCCAAAGGGGAGTGATTATGTAGTCTGATTGGCAAGTGAGCATACAGGTGAGATCAGGTAGGGGCATGAGTTCACACAGGGAGCGTGGTCTCCAGCTCATAAGTCTAATCAATTTAATCCTATCTGCCTGCCTATATAGGTCTTGGCTCCCTTGGTGAAAACATGTGAACATACATGCCAATATTTCTTCATGGGTTCTCTCCTTTGTCTCATTGGTGTTTAAGCCAGTACCATATCATAATCTTATTGATTACTGTAGCTTTGTGATAAGTTTTGAAATCAGGAAGTGTTAAACCTGTAACTATTTATCTTTTTTTTTTTTTTAAGATTTTATTTATTTGAGAGGTAGAGTTACAGACAGAGAGAGGGAGAGACAGAACAATCTTCCATCTGGTGGTTCACTCCCCAAATGGCTACAACGGCCGGAGCTGTGCTGATCCGAAGCCAGGAGCTTCTTCCAAATCTCTCACGTGGGTGCAAGGGCCCAAGTACTTGGGCCATCTTATGCTTTCCCAGGCCATAGTAGAGAGCTGGATTGGAAGAGGAGCAGTCAGGACATGAACCAGCATGGGATGCTGGTGCTGCAGGCAAAGGATTAACGTACTACACCACAGTGCCGGTCCCTATTTATCTTTTTAAAGATTATTTTGCTGTTTAGAGTCTCTTGAGATCTCATATGAATTTTAGAATGCATTTTTCTATGTATGCGAAAATAATGTCATTAGGATTTTGTTAGTAATTGTATTAATTTTATAGATTGCTCTGTTGGACCTCAGAGAATGGTATCCCAAAGGAGGTCTCACAAAGCAAAGTCTCTGACCTGTCCTCCTATCTCCTGTTTTCCTTTCTCCTTCCAGAAGGCAAACGCTTGAAACTAGAATTTCCCTTTCACAAGGCAAGTCATAGAAAGTAGGAATCCTTACCTTGTTTTATGATATTTCTATGAAAAGACACCTTACTTAATATATTGAGTTCACAGCCAATAGCACTGTAATTCATACCTAGCTTGAATAAAGCTTATCTATATATTTTCTCCGTAAGGCTAATCGCACCTATTTTGTGTTTAGAATTGATACATGGTACTTCAGTAGTAAAATAGGGCCCATTTTAAATGGTCAAATCACCAACAAAAAGCCCCCAAAATACAAAAAAAAAAAAAAAAAACAAAACAAAACAAAAAATCCTGGCCTAAATAGACTACAAAAAGTACATTTATCTATGAGAGCTGAAACAAAAAGGTAGAGCATCACCTTTTTTTTTTTTTTTTTTTTTTTTAAAAAAAAAAAAAGAAAGAAATGCAAAGTTACAGAGAGGAGGAGACAGAGAGAGATCTTCCATCCGCTGGTCCATTCCCCAAATGCCTTCAATGGCTGGAGCTGTGCTGATCTGAAGCCAGGAGCCAGAGGCTTCTTCTGGGTCTCCCACATGGGTGCAGGACCCAAGGACTTGAGCCATCTTTCCCTGTTTTCCCAAGTGCATTAGCAGGGAGCTGGATTGGAAGTGCAGCAGCTGGGACTCAAACTGGTGTCTATATGGGATGCTGACACTGCATGCAGCGCCTTTACCCACTATGCTACAGGACTTGCCCTACTTTTTATTTTATTTTTTTAAGATTTATTTTATTCACTTGAAAGGCAGAGTTAAAGAGATGGAGAGAGAGAGTGAGAGAGATCTTCCATCTGCTGGTTCACTCTCCAAATGGCAGCAGCAGTCAGGGCTGGGCCAGGGTGAAGCTAGTAGCTAAGAACTGTATCTGGGTCTCCCACACTTAGGCCATCTTCCACTGCTTTCCCAGGCTCATTAGCAGGGAGTTGGATGGAAAGTGGAACAACCAGAACTTGAACTGCTGCCCATATGGGATGCCAGTGTCACAGGCAGCAGCTTTACCCACTGTGCCACAACACTGGCCCTGAGCATTACCGTGTTTGATCTCACCTGTCAGTGTGTGTTGTGTGACCCAGATTTTTCATACTCCTGTGCATGTCTGCAAAGTACCACATGAGCACTGTGAATATTGAATTTTTAATTTTAATGATAGGCAAAATTACAGAAGTCAAATATGGAACTAATGAGGATTGACTGTAGCTCACATGCCAACATGCCATGCAGTTAACCTATTTTCAAGTATAAAATTCAGTGGTTTTAGTATATTTATAGGATCGTGTGAGCATTACCACAATTTGAGAACTTTTTTTTTTTTTTTTTTTGACAGGCAGAGTTAGACAATGAGAGAGAGAAACAGAGAGAAAGGTCTTCCTTTTTCCGATGGTTCACCCCCCCAAGTGGCCACTACGGCCGTGTGTTGCACCGATCCGAAACCAGGAGCCAGGTGCTTCCTCCTGGTCTCCTATGCGGGTGCAGGGCCCAAGGACCTGGGTCATCCTCCACTGCCTTCCCGGACCACAGCAGAGAGCTGGCCTGGAAGAGGGGCAACCGGGACAGAATCCGGCGCCCCCACCGGGACTAGAACCTGGAGTGCCGGCGCCGCAGGCGGAGGATTAGCCTAGTGAGCCACGGCGCTGGCCAGAGAACATTTTCATCACTCCTAACAAGACCTGTTCCCAGTGGTAGCCAATCCCCATTGCACCTTAGCCCCACCTCCAGCCCTATGCAACCAGTAAGCTATTTTCTGTCTCCATAGATTTGCCAATTCTAGGGATGTCATATGAATGGGATCATGCAAGATGTAGCCTTCTGTGACTGATTTCTTTCACTTGCCATAATGTTCTCAGAGCTCATTGATGTTGTAGCATACTACAGTACTTCATTCCTATTCATTGCTGACTAATATTCCATATTATGCACACAGCATGTTTTATTTATCAGTTTATCAAATGATGGACATTTGGCTTATTTCTACTTCTTGATATTATGAATAATGCTGCTGTGAATATTTATGTACAAGTTTTTTTATGGACATATTTTTTCATTTCTCTTGGTTAAATATCTCATAATAGATTGCTGGGACATGTTCTTTTTTTTTAATTTTTTTTAAAGATTTATTTATTTATTTTTGACAGGCAGAGTGGATAGTGAGAGAGAGAGACAGACAGAAAGGTCTTCCTTTTTTTGCCGTTGGTTTACCCTCCAATGGCCGCCATGGCTGGCGCGCTGCGGCCAGCGCGCCGCACTGATCTGAAGGCAGGAGCCAGGTGCTTCTCCTGGCCTCCCATGGGGTGCAGGGCCCAAGCACTTGGGCCATCCTCCACTGCACTTCCTAGCCACAGCAGAGAGCTGGCCTGGAAGAGGGGCAACCGGGAAAGAATCCGGCTCCCCGACTGGGACTAGAACCCGGTGTGCCGGCGCCACTAGGTGAAGGATTAGCCTATTGAGCCATGGCGCCGGCCGGGACATGTTCTAACTCTGTACTTAACGTTTGGAGGAGCTACCAAATTAAATTCCAAAGTGGCTACACCATTTTTCATTCCCACCAACAGAGTATTTGGTTCAGATTTCTCTACATCCTCACCAAAACTTGTTATTATCTTTATTTTGATTATTGCCACCCAAGTGAGTATAAAGTGGTACTTCACTGTACTTTTTATTTGCATTTTTTGATGACCAATGTATTCATCACTTTGCAAGTGTTTATTAACCATTTGTATATTTTTTTTGGAGAATTGTCTATTAGATTTTTTGGCCCATTTCCTAATTGGGTTTGATTGTTGAATTATGAGCATGTGCTGTTTTCCAGCAAGGTTTGGAACCGTGAGTCGAAGGATGGGCAGGGACTACTGTCAGAGCAATAGTCAAATTTTATTAGTTTTACAAGGCTTTTATACTCGCACAATCATAGCATGCTCCTTTACCCAGGGGGCTAGTACTAGGGAAACAAGATTAGTTCAAGGAAACTTTTATCAAAAGAGATAATATTCATGTTTCATATAATCTGAAGGAACAATTTGTATTAAAAAGGTGGCCAAAGTATTTTCCTTCAAGGACAGATAGAGCCTGCAGCTGCTTGAAAAAGGGAGGTTGTGATGTCTGACCAAGGGACATTCTCAGATTAGCACATGATGCACAGTGAAGTGTCCTTCAGGCTGCTCATGTACATCTCTGATTCGACCTAGCCCGGGCTCCACATGAGAGCTTTTAATATTTTCTGCATACAGCCCCTTATAAAGTATATCTTTTGATAATTTTTTTTTCCATTCTGTAAGTTATCTTTTAACTTTGTTGATGTTTTCCTTTGTAGCACTAGATTTATAACTAAAGTTATAAAAATATTTTTATTTGAAAGTCATATTTACAAAGAGTGAGAGGGGAGGGAGGGTGGGAAAGAGAGATTTTCCACTTGCTTCCAAGATTGTTCATAAAAATTATTGAAATAAGGCCGGCGCCGCGGCTCACTAGGCTAATCCTCCACCTAGCGGCGCCGGCACACCGGGTTCTAGTCCCGGTTGGGGCGCCGGATTCTGTCCCGGTTGCCCCTCTTCCAGGCCAGCTCTCTGCTGTGGCCATGGAGTGCAGTGGAGGATGGCCCAAGTGCTTGGGCCCTGCACCCCTTGGGAGACCAGGAAAAGCACCTGGCTCCTGGCTCCTGCCATCGGATCAGTGCGGTGCGCCGGCCATTGGAGGGTGAACCAACGGCAAAAAGGAAGACCTTTCTCTCTGTCTCTCTCTCTCACTGTCCACTCTGCCTGTCAAAAATAAAAAATAAATAAATAAAAAAAATAAAAATTATTGAAATACAGCTGATTTTTGTATATTTATCTTGTATTCTGCAACTTTACTGAAATATAATGAGTTTCTTTTTTTTAAAGATTTATTTATTTGAAAGGCAGAGAGAGAGAGAGCGACCTTCCACTAGTTCACTTCCCAAATGGTTGAAATGGCCAGAGTTGGGCAGGTCTGAAGCCAGGAGCTTCTTCTAGGTCTTCCATGTGGGTGCAGGGGCCCAAGGGCTTGGGCCATCTGCTGTTACTTTCCCAGGCACATTAGCAAGGAGCTGGATTGGAAGTGGAGCAGCTGGGACTCAAACTGCACCCATATGGGGTGTTGACACTGCAGGCAGTGGCTTGACCCACTGCTCCAGTGCTGTCCCCATATAATTTTTTAAAATGTGTATTTATTTAGTATTTTCATTTATGAGAGAGAAAGATATCTCCCATCTGCTTGTTCACTCCCCAAATGTCTGCAACAGCCAGGGCTGGGCCAGGCTGAAACCAGGAACCTAAAACTCCATCTGGATCTCCCACATGGGTAGCAGGGCCCAAGCACTTGAGCCATTATCTGCTGCCTCCCAGGATGCGATAGCAGGAAGCTATATCAGAAGCAGAGTAACCAAGACTCAAACTCGCATTCTTATATGGGATGATGGAATCCTTAGTAACAGCTTCACCCATTGTATTCCACACCCACCCCAAGTTTTTAATTTTGGTAGAGTCCAAGTTACCTGCTTTTTCTTCTGCATCTTACGCTTTTGGTTTTATATCTAAACAAACAAATAAATAAACAAACAAAAAAACCCATCATCTAATCCAAGGCCATCATTAATCCATATGTACTTCTAAATGTTTGTCTAAGAATTTTACAGCTTTTAAATTTAGGTCTGTAGTTCACTTTGATGTTTTTATACATGTTGTGAGGAAGTGGTCCAATTTTATTCTTTAGCATGTGGATACCACTATGTCTCAGCACTGTTTGTTAAAATTATTCTTTCCCATTGCCTTGTCTTTGCATTATGGTGAAAATCAGCTAGTCATAAATATTCAGGCTTATTTATGAATTCTCAATTCTGTGTCATTGATCTGTCTATGTATTCTTTTTACTTTTTTTTTTTTTTTTTTTTTAACATTTGTTTATTTGAGAGGCAGTTACAGAGAGGGAGAGGCAAAAGCAGAGAGAGAGAAATCTTCCATCCACTGGTTTCACTCCCCAGAGGCCACAACAGCCAGGAACAGGGCAGGCCGAAGCCAGGAGTCGGGAGCTGAGAGAGTCATCCAGGTCTCTCATGTGGGTGAAGGGGCCCAAGGATTTGGACCATTCTCTGCTGCTTTCCCAAGTGCATTGACAGGAGTTGGATTGAAAGTAGAGCAGCCAGGACTTGAACCAGCGGCCATATAAGATGCTGGCATCACAGGTGGTGGCTTAACCTGCTTTGCTACAATGTTGGCTGGTTCCTGGCTATATAGTCTTAAGCCAGTGAAATCTGTCTTGATTACTACAGCTTTGTAGCAAGATGTTGGGAAAAGTGAGTCCTCCAACTGTGTTATTTTTCAAGATTGTTTTAACTATTCCTTTGCATCTTCATAGGAATTTTAGAATTGTACTGTCAATTTCTGTAAAGAATTCAACTGTGATGAAATTGGATTTAAATCTAAATCTCTTGACCAGTTTGGGGTGCACTGCCATCTTAAAATTAGATCTTCCAATCTATGACTATTGGATGTCTTTCCATTTATCTAGGTCTTCAATTTCTTTCAATAATGTTTTCTAGAGTTAATAAAACTTATACTTCCTTTGCTAAATTTATTCCTTAATTTTTTTATTCTTTTTGATGGCATTGTCACTGGAATTTTTCCTTTATTTTGCTTCCCAGGTTGCTCATAAAAATTATGGAAATACAGCTGATTTTTGTATATTTATCTTGTATTCTACAACTTTACTGAAAGCTAATTGAGTTTTTTTAAAAAAGATTTATTTATTTGAAAGGCAGAGTTGCAGAGAGAGTAAGAGAGAGAGAGAGAGAGAGAGCTAGAGTGAGCGAGCAAGCTGCTGGGTCGCTCCCCAAATGGCTGCAACAGCCTGAGCTATACCAGGCTGAAGCCAGGAGCCTGGAATTCCATCAAATTTTCCCACATGGGTGGCAAGGTCCAAAGTACTTGGGCCATATTCTACTGCTTTCCTAGGTGCATTAGCAGGGAGCTGAATCCAAAGTAGAGCAGCCCAGACAGCAACTGATGCTTATATGGGATGCTGGTGTTGCAGGTGGTGGCTTAACCTGCTGACCATGATGCTAGACCTTATAATAACTTTTAAACTGAAGAAATTAAAACAAAACCTATTTTTTTATTTCTGAAAATTGCAGATCATAGCTTAATCCATAAAATGTCCAAGTAGATATACCAATCTATATGATAGCTTAGTAAAATTTGGAGAAAAATTAGCTCCAATTTCCTCTGCCACATCAGTTGATTGATATAATATTTTTAGATTCTTATACTCCAGATCCAACACCTATCAAGAGTTGTATAGATTGAAAGTGACTGTAGATTTGCGATATTAGGAAATCTGGCTTTATAGCCTGGATTCAATTCCAAGCACACTTGGAAAGAGTAATTTCTAGTAGCCACTTTAGAAGAACTGAACTTTTGATTTATTATTTGTTCATTGTTTGTTTTTGAACATTTTGAGCATTTTCTTTTTGAACACCTTTTGTTTGGTGTAATTTTTTGGGGCTTTGTCAATTTCTTTTTATAATGCTTCCTTTTATTCTTTTCTGCTTTTTAAAATATTGGCTTTTTAGTTCTTTATCCAGTTGAGCTCAAAGTTGTGGGAGAAAAGAATTAATAAATTAAAAATTTCAAAAAAAGTTTACAAGGCTAACTTCTCATATTTTTGTTGCTTTGTGTGACTTGATTTTCTAACAGGTTTATAATCAATCAAGATTGAGCACTGAATTCCGGGCTCCCCTGGCATTTCAGTCTGGAGTAGATCAAGAAGAAGACAAGAAAGAAGTATGTAATGATAATGCTTTGGGACATCAATATTTCTTTTATGATGGTATATATGAAACTGGAAACAGTGTGTTGCTTTCTGATACACTAAGAGCTAACACCACAAATTCTGAAGAAGTTGATTGAATCATTACAAGGTGTTGGACTTCTCTTCTAAGCTCGTAGGGTTGATGTGAACTCAAAGATCTGATCTTAGTGAATTTCTCCAACTAATTATTTCTACCATGACTTATTTGAAGAAAAATTTTTAATTTATGTCTGGTTTGCCCATCCACCCTCCCTTCCTCCTTTACTCCCCCCCGTTCTCCCTCCTTCCTTCCTTTTTTTTTCCTTCCTTATCTAAACTTAGCTTGAACCCAACAGTTCTTAATCCTGACCATGCACCAATATCAGATGTGGAGTTTTTTCTCAAAATACAGATGTATAGACCCTAACTAGATATCTTGAATCAATAAGTGAAGGGAGAGATTTGGAGCATTTATACTTATAAAAGATACCACTGGTGATTCTTATACAGCCTCAATATTGAGAACTACTATTTAGACTTTTAATAATTCTTTAACAAAAAATATTATACTACCATAGTATATGTATAGGTATGCTTTGTGTATTTTGTATCCTAAAAAGAGAATTAAATAAATCCAGAGATATGAACAGATCCCACATAGTGTAGTAGCATTTATTTTTCTGATCCTTGTTCCAATTGTGAATATGATGCCCTGATGTACTGTAAGCCCTTTTACCCTCCTCCCTGCTATTAAAAAGTTAAAGTGATTATTGTTCTGTTATAAAATACCTCTCACATTCTTTCTGTGGCCCTGCTTTTATGGTACTTACTGCTTGGGAACACAGAGTAAATATAGTATATATCTTACTTTGTCAAATATAATCATTTCCTTAAGTACTATTGACAAGGGATTATACTAAGGCCAAACTAAATTAGTATTCTGCTTTGTGGGTGAACAATGAATTGCTATGTTCTTGAAAATATAAAATTCTTGCGTGTGATATTGTCTTGAGTCACTATAGACAAAGGGAAATTAAGGACATAGTCCTCTGTGACATATGGTTTTCTTATCTATAGCAAAAGAATATTTTCTTCCTTGGAAAGTTTTCTGGGAGTAGAATCTTAATAATTTTACTTCTTTTCTTTAGCGTCAAAAGCAGTACCTGAGACATAGACGACTTTTCATGGATATTGAGAGAGAGCAAGTTAAACAACAACAAAGGCAAAAAGAGCAAAAGAAGAAAATTGAAAAGTAAGTTCTTTGATTCTCACTGTGAGCCTTAAATTACCAGTTAAGATGTTTTGGGAACTACATTTTAGAAATAATCAGGCAATAGTCTTTTTTTTTTAAAGATTTATTTATTTATTGAAAGGCATAACAACAGAGAGATTGAAGAGGGGGTGGGGGCAAGTATCTTCCATCTGCTGATTAACTACCCACATGGCTGCAACAGCCATGTCTGGGTCAGGCTGAAGCCAGGAGCCAGGAACTCCATCATCCTGGTCTCCTACATGGATGTCAGGAGCCAAAGCACTTGGGCTATCCTCTGCTGCCTTCCCAGGCACATTGGTAGGAAACTGGATTAGAAGCAGAGTAGCTAGTACTTGAATCAGCACTGTGATATGGGATGCCAGCACTGCAAGCAGCAGCTTTACCTGTTATGCTGTGAAGCTGGTCCTTAGTAGTTTAGCCTTTTAATTCGTATAGGAAACAACTAGTTTGATAGTGAACAGCTATTTTGTTTAATTTTAAAAAAAAATATTTATTTGAAAAGCAGAGTTAGAGGAGAGGGAGAGGAAGGAGGGAAGAGAGAGAAGAAGAGGGAAGGAGTGAGTGAGGGAGGGAGAGAGAGAAAGAGAGAGTTATTGATCTTCCATCAGCTGGTTCACTCCCCAAATGACTGCAACAGCCAGGGCTGGGCCAAGCTGAAGCCAGTAGCCCAGAGCTTCATTCTGGTCTCTCATGTGGGTACAGGGGCCCAAGTACTTGGGCCATCCTCTGCTGCTTTCCCAGGCAGATTAGCAGGGAGCTGGATCAGAAGTGGAGCAGCCAGGACTCAAATCACTGCCCATATGGGATGCCAGCACTGTAGAGAGGGGTTTAACGTGCTGTGCCACAGTGCCAGCCCCTGTTTAATTTTTTAAATAAATCTTATTTTTGAGAGCAGTTTTCAAGTTAATAGCAAAACTGAGCAGATAATACAGAGTATACCTCCTGTGGCCACACATACAGCCTCCCCCACTATCAACATCCTGCTCTTATATGGACATATTATTACTCAAAATCTGTAGTTTACATTAGGGTTCCCCCGTGGTGTTGTGGCTTCTGTGGGTTGTGATAAAACATAAATGACATGTGTCTACCAGTATTACTGCCCTGAAAATCCTGTGTGCTCTACCTATTACTCCCTCCCTATCCTCAGGGCGCTAGCAAACACTTTCTTCTCTACTGTTTCCATGGTTTTGCCTTTTCCAGAATATCATATAGAGTGTTTTTTATTCATATGTGGGTGTCCAGTTGTTGTAGAACCACTTGTTGTAGAATTTTCTTCCTTGCATTGCCTTTGCTCCTTTTCCAAAGATCAGTTGACTATATTTGGATTTTTTATTCTATTCTGTTGATCTATTTGTCTTTCCCTTTATAAATATACCATCTTGATTACTGTAGCTTTATAGTAAGTTTTGAATTTGAGTAGTTTCTGCTCTCTAACTCTGCTCTTTTTTAATATTGTGATGGCTATTCTTGATCTTTTGCCTCTCCATATAAAGTTTAGACTCAGTTTCCTGGGAATTTGACTGGGGTTGTGTTGAATCTGTAGCTTAAATTGGGAAGAACTTACATCTTGACAGTATGGAGTCTTCCCATCTGTGATCACGGCGTATCTCTCCATTTATGTAGGACTCCTTGATTTCTTCCAACAGAGTCTTGTAGTTGTGTTTATGTAGCTCTTCTATATGTTTTGTAGGCTTGTAACTAAATGTTTCATTTTTTAGGGCACTAATGTAAGTGGCATTGTGTCTTTAATTCTAAATTCTACCTGTACATTGCTGCATATGGGAAAGTGACTAATTTTGTACATTAACTTTGTATCCTACAACCTAACTATGTTTGCTTATTAGTTCTAGGAGAAGTTTTTTGGAATTTTGGAATAGATGATCATGTAATCTGTGAATAATTTTATTTTTTTCTTTCTTTACCAATGTGTATACCTCTTCTTTCTTTTTTTTCATTCATTCTCTCTCTCTCTCTTTTGGTATGATTGCATTAACTTGGACTTATGGTAATTTTTCTTCTCCAATATTATTAATAAGTTTTCCTTTATCTTGGTGGTGATTATTCCTATAACAGAAGTATTCTTTAAATAAAAAAATTCTTTAAACATGCACACACGCACACATACACAGATACCCTCAATATGGCAGTCATGGCAAAGGAAATATTTACTTGGATTCTTTTAAGTGCTTTCACATGTATTTTATTTTATTTTATTTATAGTTTGTTCACGAAATCATTCAATCAAGCTTGTCCGTAACAGTTGTAGGACTGAAATAGAGTACAAATGCAGACTTAAATACCTTATATCTAAATATTTAAAAATCATAAATAAAGCAAAAATTGTTAAATGAGGAATATTCATTCACCTAGCTCAACAATATTATTTCATAAAGACCTAGAAGGTCAGGTTCAAATTTGTAAGTACCAGAATTCTCTAAGTTACATGTAGAAATATGGCAGCATGGGGAGAGACAGCCCCTAACCTAGCTCCTTTCCTTTTCTACTATAACTCTATTTCGTACTGCAAATTATACATTATGCTGAACTCAGCCTAGATATCTAAGTTCTGTACACATGGCCTATAAGTAGCCACCTCTTAATATCCCACTGATTCTATGTACACACATCAAAGATGCAGTGTGCTCTCAGGAAAGCAAATGTGGAAAACAGAATTGTCTAAAAGATCCTGAAAACAGTCTTGAAAAGTTGAGGAAAGAATGGGGGGGGGGGTGGCGCTGGTGCTGTGGCATTGTGGGTAAAGCCACTGCCTACAGTGCCAGCTAGCATCACATATGGGTGCTGGTTCAAGTCCTGCATGCTCCACTTTCCAACCCAGCTCTCTGCTATAGCCTGGGAAAGCAGTATAAAATGGCCCAAGTCCTTGGGCTCCTGCACCCACGTTGGTGATCTGGAAGAAGCTCCTGGCTTCAGATTGGCCCATATCTGGCCTTTGTGGCCATTTGGGGAGTGAACTAGCAGATGGAAGGCCTCTCTCTCTCTCTGCCTCCACCTCTGTAATTCTGCCTTTCAAATAAATAAATAAAAAAAATTAAAAAAAAAAAGAATTCTAGGGGCATGAATACCTGGAATAGAACCTACAACAATAAACAGAGGCTTCAGATAAGCATATTCCTCTAGCTGCTCAGTCTCTGAAGCCTTTAGGAAGACAGGTCTCCAGAGGCAAGCCAAAGAGAGACTACTACAAAAGCGTGTCCTTTGGAGGTGCATATTTGGCCTAGCAGTTAAGACAGCAGTTAGAGTGCTTTCTTCCCACGTTAGAGGGCCTGAGTTCAAGTCCTGGCTCTACTCCTGATCCCTGCTTCCTGCTCTGTGCATTCTAGAAGGCAGCAGGTTTAAGTAGTTGGGCCCCATCACACACATGGGAGACCTGGTTCATGTTTTTGTTTCCCAGTTTCAACCGTGGCCAAAGCCCAGCCATTGCAAGCATTTGGGGAATGAATGGAAGCTCTCTTTCTTTTGCTATTTCTCTCTCTCTGTGCCTCTCAAATTAAATCTTAAAAAGAAATTTAAAATGAGCATCCCAAGGTAGGAACTCCCCTTTAATCCAATTAAGAGTGAATTTTCACTTATTCAGAAAACATTCATTTAGCATTTTCTACATCACAGACATTATTTTAATTGATATAAAGATAAGTAAAATATAGTCCCTTTTCTTGAATAACTCAATCAAGTTGGGGAAAGAAGCTAACAAACCAATATATGCAGGTAAGTAATATGATTAGTACTATTGCAGAAATAAGTCTTCCAAGAGCACAAACGAAGGGATCACTGGTTGTGTCTGGAGAATTAGAGAAATTACTACATTTCATTTGGGCCTAGGTGGACAAAATATGTGTTGGGGACAGGGATAAGGATGGTGAATTAAAAAAAAAATCAAGATAAGCCAAGTGAGAGTAGAAGGAAGTAGCAGTGTTTCTTCTGAGTTTTACAGTTTACAAAAGCATTTATATATTATCTTGTTAGGTACTTATCAACAACAAAGCAAACAATCATTGATAACGTATTGCTAAGCCATGTACTATATGCTGATATATGTGGTAGGATAAGTTTGAATATGCTATTTGTTAGCTATGTAAACTTAAGTGAGTTACTTCACCTCTGAGCCTCAATCTCCTTAATTATAAGATGGAAGTTATAATACCTGTCTTCCAGTTTATTGGTAGAATGGAGACATATGTAACATATTTTCCATTTTATAAAATCACAATAAAAATTATCTGTAACTACCATGATGTTGATAGTCTCCTGTGGCCAGGGAGTGCAGTGGAGGATGGCCCAAGTACTTGTGCCCTGTACCCCATGGGAGACCAGGATAAGTACCTAGCTCCTGCCATCGGATCAGCGCGGTGCGCAGGCCGCAGCGCACCGGCCGCGGCGGCCATTGGAGGGTGAACCAACGGCAAAGGAAGACCTTTCTCTCTGTCTCTCTCTCTCACTGTCCACTCTGCCTGTCAAAAAAAAAAAAAATTAAAAAAAAAAAAAAGATAGTGATGGAAGGGTAGGAGTGCTGGTGGTGGTGGGGATGATTAATAGAATGAACATTAATGGAGGCCAGACAAATGGAAAAGAAGACAAAGTTTTTATAATGATAAAAATGAGGGGGCCTGCAATAAAGGGGGCAGCAAATAAAGCTGCTGCCTGCACTGCTGGCATCCCATATGTGCACTGGTTTGAGTCCTGGCTGCTCCAGCTCTCTGCTATGACCTGGGAAGGCAGTGGAAGATGGCCCAGGTCCTTGGGCCACTGCACCTGCATGGGAAACCCAGAAGAAGTTCTGGCTCCTGGTTTTGGATCGGTGTAGCTCTGGCCATTGCGGCCATCTGGGGGGTGGAACAGCAGATGGAAAACCTCTCTGTGTGTATCTCCCTCTTTCTGTCTGCAATTCTCAAGTAAATAAATCTTTAAAAAAAATGATGTAAGGATAGTCTGGGGAGACCAAGAAAGGCTTTGTAGGT